AGCCTGTCAAAGCATGGAACATTGGAAGGGCACATGACATCTCTGGTCTGAGACATGCAGCCATTTGGTGGGCTGCAAGATAGCGAAAGCTCTTGCCTGTTCCGAATGAAACATATTTTTCACTTTAACTGGTCTCTAAATTATATTTGTGGTGCTGAAAACATGGTAACAGCAGCTTGGGGGGGTGACCAAGGTGTTCTATTCCAGTATATTAAGCTATAAATGTACCAAATTTGGCGCTTTTATTGCAAAAATTTATTAGTTTGTTAGCAGAATTATACAAAAACTGCCTGACCGATTTTCACAAAATTCAGTGGAGGGATGTAACACATGCCAACTTAAAATACATTCAATTTTGGTGTTGATCCAACTCAGGGGGCGCGTCCACGGGCCGCCCACACGTGCCTGCCCATTCACCTCCATTCATTTTTTGGATGAGAAGTATGTGAAAACTTTCCAACCGATTTTCACAAAACTTGGTGGAGGCATGTAGCATGGTCAAACTTAGAAGCCATTACATTTTGGAGTGGATCCAATCCACGGGACGGGTCCATGGGCAGGTAGGATTCAATTGCCTGCTGTGGCCACCAGGGGGCGAGTTTCTGATGCCCCAATATCCAGATTTGTTGTAAATATATTTGTCAACACATCTGCCAAATTTGGTGCTTTTATCACAAAATTGAACGATTCTAGAAAAATATTGAGCTATGCTGCCCCACTAATCTGGCAAATGATTAAAATATTTTCATTTTTTGCTTTTTAAGGAGCAACACAAGAAGACAAGCCAAAGAGGAGGCTGTAAACTGTGAATGAGAAGCTAATAAAATGTTTTAAACAGCTCTTGTTCTGTTCTATTACATTTTTATAAAGCTTTTTCCACTTTAATATGCCTCTAAATTATATTTGTGGCACTAAAAACATGAAACAGCACCTATAGGATAGAGGGTTCCTACACATTTGGAATTTCAAAATTCCATATTTTTTCCATACCCTAATTTGCGTTTTTTTTTTTTCTCTGCGGTTTTTTTTTCCACAGAATATGCGACATCTGAGTAAATATATCAGTGTATCATATTTCACATCATATTTAATATTTAATTATTCTTAATGGGCGATTGTAGCCAAGTACCATAATGGCATGCAAATAAAAACTCAGATAAGTTCAATGTCTGGGCTGAGGTAAAAAGGTTGGGTGCAAGCGATGCAGTAACGAGACGTCGGTGTTTTTTCCTTTCATGTGGCTCAGAAGCGCCTTCTCCCCCATGTTGGCGATGTCAAACGATTTCACACAAAGCTTGCATCTAGCTGTGTGTGTGAATTGGGAATCCTTGGCCAACCAGTATTTATATACGGTATTTTCAAGCTATCCATCCAAAAACTTGCATCTACCCATTGTGAACCACGTGAAACTCGTCTTCTTGTCGAAGGTGCAGTGTTGGAGTGAAACTTGATACCTGGGGGGCTGGAGGAGGGTCATAGGGCAGCGGACTGGACATACCACTTGTCAATGGGTCCATGTCATTGGTCCGACATCCCATTAGTCTGACGGTCTGCGGTGCTGAACGGCTCCCGGCGGGCGTATTTCTATCTTGATGGTGCGCCGCGACTGGCTCTGGGTCAGCTGGGAAAGGCGTGAGGCGAAGCAGGCTCACGGTTTATGTGTTTGCCACTTTCTTTTTCATTTTAAGCCACACCATGATCTTTTCCTAACCCTAACCAAGTGGTTTTTGTGTCTAAACCTAACCAGACCTTAACCACAGGGCATCATGATGATTTTGGAACAGCAGGACTTCAGAACAATGGGTTTAATATGGTCGGAACAATGGGATGTCGGATAAATGGGCTGTCGGACCAATGGGCAGTTCCCTTGTCAATCAGGTAAAAGGGGCGGTATGTTTTCTGAGACGTTTGCTCTCACACAAACTGTGCTTGGCCCGGCATAAAACACGATCCGGGTTGATTAAATTATTTTTGGAAATACCTAATTTTCTATTTTAGAAAACAGTATTTTAGAACAGTGGTAATAGTCTGGGAACATAAATATTTTTCCATACTTTATTTTTCATTTTCCATACTTTTTAATACCTGGAAATTGATCAAATTTATTTCCATACTTTCCATACTTGCGTAGGAACCCTGACCATTCCATGCCAGTAACCACTGGCAGCCATTTTGATTGGTTGGTTGGTCGGTTGGTCGGTCGGTCCGTCGGTCCACAAAGCTTTTCTTGAATAATTCAAAAACTACTTGACCAGAAATGTTTGAAATTTGCATATTGCAAGTAGAGACCATGAGTAACTATGCTAGAAAAAATGACCAGGATTCATTCATAGGTGGCGCTATACTAAGCATTTCAAAATGAAAATTTTGCTTTTCTTGAGGTTGTGTGTATGCATGTTGTATGGATGCATGCATGTAGCTATTGCGAATTTGCGCTTGTTCTTAATTTAATGTGAACTGTGAGTGTGTCTAACTGTATTTTTCTTAGTTTAATACATATTTACATTTATTAAATATTGTAATGAATTGTTTAAATATTTTGATTAATTTTATTGAATAAATGGTTGCTACGGCAACTAGGGTGCGTTTTTGCGATGCCCGAATATCCAGATTTGTTTGAAATATATCCACCAACACATGAACCAAATTTTGTGCTTTCATCACAAAATGAACGATTGTTGTGATATATTGAGCTAAGCCGCCCCACTATAACAGATACTGCTTCTCGTTCTTTGAGTTTACATATGGCTAAAGGGTAAAAAAAAAACAACCGTAAACGGACGGCATGATTAGTGTTGCGTTCAAGGTCCCCCCAAAAAACGGGAGAAAAAAAGGCCGACTATTCGATTTCTTTTTTTCCCACAATCGAATCCTGTGCCATCAAACAAAGCTTTGAAGCTTAGAATTTTTTGGGTCAGCCCTAAATCCCACATGCAAGGGGCTAGCCATAAGGTTGTTGTTTTCAGCAAGTTGGCCTTGAATAGCTGATGTTGAGCTGTAGAGCTGTGTTACTTGTTATGACCTAAGGTGTATTTTAATAAACCTGCCTTTGGTTTAATTTATTCTTTCAAGCTTTATTCCTTCTCATTTTATCTGAGTTCTGTTGTATGTTTGTGCTCCATGGATTTAATTGCAAACTACAACTGTTTAGTAAGTTAAAGATGCGTTGCTGCTAACGACAGCTTTAAGTGTCGATGAGGTCTTAAGTTTTTTTTTGGAAGGTCTTAAAAAAGTCTTAAAAAGGTATTGAAATTAACCTCAGGATTCCTGCATATACCCTGTTACAGCTTTCAGTTTAGGCCCCGCCCACCAGGTTCAACTTTTTACTTGCAAAACTTTTTGACTAAAAGGAAAAAAATGACTCACAAACAAGGATTTGCAAACAAAACTTGAGGATTTGCATTTTTTAATCAATCATTTTTTTTTACTTGCAATAAAACATTTTATGATTGCAATATTGATGCTTTTGCTCTCAAATCTTTTTTTTATTGTTATTATTGCGAAACCTACTTTGTTTGATTGAATAATAAAGAAACAAATGTAGCTCCATATCTGTGCGTTACAATTTTTTCAGATGATGGATTATAAAAACACAAAAAAAATGGACTCAGTATGCAAAGGCCTTAACTTGGGACTGAAATTGAGAACTAAGACTTAAAACCTGTTTGTGACTTACTCCCACCTGTGTATGCAGTGGACAAATTAAATCATCACATGAATTGTTGTCCTCAGGTGGTGAGAGACAAACGGACAGGAAAGACCAAAGGCTATGGCTTCGTCAGTTTCAAGGATCCAAATGACTATGTCAGAGCCATGAGAGAGATGAACGGTCAGTCTGCAGACACACTTCACCTTTTCCAACATTTACACGGTTATATTCTCATGTGTGTACTTACGATGTGGAGTTATGATATTTTCCTTGATGTAGAAACAGAGTTGGTGACATTCAACTAGTGTTGTCAAAAATATTTATTTATTAATATGTATAGATACTGAATATTTGAAATGGTTTCAGTACGTTTTCTGCAGTGTCAATAACTGCTACCAGCTGGGTTAGCTCTCTCTTATTGTTAATGTTTACTAGTCATTCTGCTGTTCTCTGCTACAAACTAAGGAAATTTATTGTCGTCCTGTTAAAGCCTTGATCTATTTACCTTACATTAAATAATTATTTTTATACCCTCAATGTCAATTTTCTTCCCATTGTATCAAAAATGGTATCAAAAATGGATATGTTTTAAAGGAAATGACCACTTTAGAATGAAAATATACACAGTACTTTCTTACCCTCATGCCAACAAGAAGTCCAGTGTAGTTTTTTAATCCACAAAACTCGTTCGGGGTATCGGAGGATAACAGCTAGCTGGATTTTTCCATACACTTGAAGTGCATGGGACCCACGTCCAAAATCATTTTGAAAATGTAATAAAACTCTGCTATTGACTCGAGAACAAGAACGTCTCTGAACGTTCTTGAGTCTTGCGTGAGTTGCCATGTAAACACAGCATGCCTGCAGGCTAACTGACCACGGTGAGAAATTATGCTATAAAATTAAAGTAAATTATGTCTTTTCAAGTCAGTTTTGCATGCCGCGGCTTCAGTGCACTTGGATTACGACGGACGAGCCTTTCTGACGTTTTTGAAATGCATTAGCAGAGTTTTATTACGTTTTCAAAATGATTTTGGACGTGGGTTCCATGCACTTCAAGTGTATGGAAAAATCCAGCTAGCTAGCCCGAACGAGTTTTGTGGATTAAAAAACTACACTGGACTTCTTGTCGGCATGAGGGTGAGTAAGTACTGTCTGTATTTTCATTCTAAAGTGGTCATTTCCTTTAAAGGGCCAGTGTGTAATATTTGGCATGGTTTATTGTCAATCTGAATCTGAATATTCTACCCATTAATATGTTTATACAAGTGTATAATCGCTATAAAATAAAATTTGTTTGGTTTTCGTAGCCTTATTATTATGCNTAGCAAGGGCCTTGCTTTAGAGAGGTCGCCATCTTGCGCCGCCATGTATGTTCGGCAGACCGAGCGGACAATCCAGCCAGCCAGAGAACACGTGTATAAATGAACGAACGAAGACAGTGGAAGGAAGGAAGAAGGAGGAGGAAACAGCAGAGAGTGTTAGTAGTTCGTCGATAAAGAGTAGTGAAAGGTTTTTTTTAGTTATAAAGTTTGCGAATGGACCACACTTACCACGCAACAGGAGAGAATGAACCCGAACCGTCATCTGCGAGGAAAAGAAGACGCAACTTCACTCCTTGTGATGCACTCTCTGCGGCGCTTTTCCTCCTAATGATATATCTCCCCAACGATGGTAGCACTGAATCCCATTCTGTGCATTCAGCCTCTCTTCTCGCCCGCTCAGCATCAAACAGATGGAGTTCCTCATCTGTATGCTCCGGCTCAAACAGGTATGGCTCTGGGTCTGTGTCCGCTACAAGAAACTCTTCAAAATCGCGTCAAAGTCGTCCATTGCAGCTACTATAGTCTGGAGATATTGCTAGGCTAAATAAACAGCTGAGCTCTGTTTACCGGCTACGCTGTCAGTCAGTGTGCGGGCTGGAGATTGGTGGAGCAGAGTGGGGAGGGGGTCCCCACTTGGTATGGTAAATGAGTATGTGTGTATGAAGTGTGTGTGTGTTACGCTAGAAGAGTCAGAGTTTGGGACGGAGTCTTTTACCCCCTGGAGTGTTACCGGAGTTTTTGGAGTGCTCAAATAAACTGGCCTTTTTCCTGAACACTCCTCTGGTCTCCTGCTCGTGAGGGATTCATTACAATATTGTAACATGGTTTAGATTTCTAAATAAATATTCACCTCGTCGCTAGATAGACCTACTCCTGAAAAACTCGTGCGCAAGGCTTTTTGTCCCTACGAGGCCACCATCATTTACCCGACGGGAGGGGCGAGTGAGTGAGCCCTGCAATCTAGAATTTGACCACTGATGTCACTGTTTTCAACCCATTTTACACACTGGCCCTTTAAGGTATTGTGACAACATGACTCCAACTTAAATTGATAGCCCTCTATTCTTCCAGCCGTCCTTTGTCCTTTGACAGGGTTTAAATCTGACCTGGACACTAGTTAATAACTGCTGCCACTGTGTTTCCCTCTCAATCTTTTTGTTTGCCCAGGGAAGTATGTTGGCAGTCGTCCAATCAAACTGAGGAAGAGCATGTGGAAGGACCGCAACCTGGAAGTGGTTCGTAAGAAACAGAAAGAGAAGAAGAAACTGGGCCTTAGATAGTGTTTATGCAAGTGGAACTGAGTGTTGTGCTTCCAGTGGACAGATCATGACTGTTATTGTGATCTGTCCAATCAGGAGATGTGCTTAAATTGTATAGATGTTAACTTTTTTCCTTCCTTAAATAAACTACAATTTTTTAGTTGTTGACATGGTCTTTTTTTTTAATTTATTGGGTGTGTTTACCAGAATACATTTTGTATTGCAGTACTGATACTTATTGTAGTTCTAGAGCAGTACTGATACTGAATCAAATCCTCTTACTGAAACTGGTTCACTGTATTTATAAGTTGTTTGGGCCTGTGACCCCTCATTGTGGACATGAGATCAAAGTATCCAGTATGCATTGTTGGGAGGGTATTGAGATTACAGATTACTGAATACATGCCCTAAAATGTCATTTGTAATGTACTCCATCACATTACTCAAACTAAGTAACGTATTCTTAATACTTTGGATTACTTTTGTAAAACTTCAAAATCGTCTTGCTGAGCTCATTTGTCTTGGTCATATATTTCTAAGGGTGGGGGAAAATTGATACAGCATGGTAACATGATATGTTTGTGTTGCAATATTGTATTGTCACATGGACACCAAGCACCGATTTTTTATTTTATAAATTATTTATATTACAAATTTAAGTTTTGGTAGCCTACTAGGATAATATAATCAATTACTTGTCAGTCCACTTGATACATTTTGCTGCAAAAAAAAAAAATCACTTAAGTGAGATGAACAGACTGAAAACTTAATCTTACTAGAAAAAACATGTTGAGAAAGTTTTCCTGTGGGGCAATACTAAGCAGTTGAAAAAAAGGTAATAAATGGCAATATATTGAAATATCACTAACGATCTCCTAATGGCAGCAGACTCTGGACTTTTAACTATTCTCGTTCTTCTTGATCTAAGTGCAGCCTTTGATACCATTTCACATAACTTCCTTCTAAGATAAGCTACCATTGGTGTCACTGGAGTTCTTAATGGCCCCAAAAATTCAACCCGAAACCGAAATGACCCGAGGGACTTGAAGCCCGAAACCGGCTCGGCCTGACATCATTACATACATCACTGGGTCCGAGCCCGACTGAACCCGAGTTTTTTTTTTTTTTTAAATGGAAGGGGGAAAAAATGATGCTCCCCCTGTGCGCTTCAGCAGTCTGGCTTCCCTGGCTCAAATACAGTATCTTTAATCACTTAAAGTCAACCAATCATTCATGTCCCAAAATAATATTACCAGACAGACAGGCTTCAACGTCAGCGTGGGGGAGAGCAACCATTGCGCATCATGTAGTGCTGCGCTGCTTTCACTCTTACCTTATAACTCCAAAGTCTGCCCATTCCCTCAGGTTAAGAGCCTGGGTGTCATCCTGTCCTTTGAAGCCCACATCAATAATGTTACTCAGTCTGCATACTTACATCTACAAAACATTAATCATCTTCGCCCATCACTTACACCTCAGAGCGCTGCCATCCTCATTCATTCTTTGGTTAGTGATTATTGCAAATCTATCCTCTTTGGTCTTCCTCTTAAGTGTCTTCATTAATTCCAGTTGGTCCAGAATTCAGCCACCCATATCATTACTTGAACCCCCTCCACAGATCACATCACTCCTGTTCTTCAGCAACTTCACTGGTTTCCTGTTAAATATCGCATCGACTTCAAGATTCTGCTTCTCACCTTTAAGGCCCTTCATAATCAAGCCCCTTCCTACTTGTCTGAACTCCTGCATATCTACACTCCCTCCAGTACTCTTAGATCCTCTTCTGCAATCCAACTCACATCACCATCTGCCCGCTTGTCTACGATGAGTTCTAGAGTCTTCAGCTGTTCTGCGCCCCGCCTCTGGAACTCTAGCCCACGACACTCAGTATACTGACTCCCTTTCCACTTTCAAATCCTGTTTGAAAACACACCTTTTCAAGCTGGCATATTCAGTCTGATTTTAATGGTGACACTTATATTGATAATGATGATTTTATACCCAATATTTCCAATCATGATTTTGTCTAGTCATTTTATTAACTTTTAATATGTATTACTGAATTGTTTGATTTTATGATCTATGGAGAGATTGCTTTTTTTTTTCTTACTGTGTCTTGTAAGGTGTCCTTGGATGTTCTGAAAGGCACCTATAAATAAAATGCATTATTATAATAATAATAATGATAATAATAATAATTTTTATGGCAATACTCAGCATATCATAACGCTTTTGGTATCGCAATAACATTGTATTGTGATTTAAGTATCATGAAAATATCATATCGTGGGACCTCTGGTGATTCCCATCCCCATATTTCCATGGCAAAAACACACCTCAGTGTCTTGGCTTTGCATCTCCTCCGCTGTTGTTGTGTAGCAGGTGCACAGTGCACCTTTTTTTTTTGTTATCTGTTAATGGGAAATATGTGCCTCATATGAATTTTACAAGTGAGCATTGCTTTTTGTCCACACTGAATGCATTAAATATGCATTTCTGTTTCCTCTTGTGAACAAACCATGTAGATACTAATCAGCTGTGAGCTTGAAAGGAGACGCAACCACAGAAAAGATGGGCGAGTACTTTTTTCATTTCTACTTTTTAAACAGACAACATGTTTTACATTTTGACAATTAGTGGAAATGACAGACAACATAGCCAACTGCAAGTAGGTTGTTATTAGCAATGGTCATTTGCCAGAAACTGTCCACTCCCAGCTGACACCTTACTTAGGTTTTTGCTGTTAAATGAGGATCTTGTGTAGGCAACAGAAGAAAACATTGAGCTCAGCGCTGCTTTGCTTGGAGCCAGTTGGAACATTCTAATAGTCAATGCAGTCAAACTAAGGCTAGCTTGTGTTGCATCTAGTTAGGACACATAAAACAAATAACGTAATTTCTTTGAAAAGATTAACTGCATTCAGAATACTACCAATTTAAACTGTTTACTGTTACTGAATACAGTTACTCATATTTTGTATTTTAATTACATAACTAAGCTACTTGCATTCCATTACTTCCTTACAGAAGTGTATGGCATTCATTTGACAAATTAAAAAAAAGCCATTTTTCCTGAGTAATTCTTTCCCTGTTTTTTGTGGTAATTTTTTTTGTTTTTTTGTGGTATTTTTTTTTTCCTGAACAAGGAGACAAAATACTTCAAAATCTCGCGAGAAGATCCCACCTGGCACCTGCAAGTGAAACGTGTATGGGCATGATTTCAGTTGTCAGTAACGTTAAGCTAAATTTTTTTCCATCATGCTGGAGAGTGTTACTCATCACAAATTTGTCAGCTAACGTTTTTACAACCTGTTACTAACCTAACCTGTTACCACTGAGCGATAGGCCTACACTAGAAGGATGCAGTCAAATCATAGCTATATTATCATACTCTGTGTGTAACTAATTACATGCCTTACCCTTATTGATCCCGTAGTTGAAATTGTCTAGGAGCAGGAGCACGGATGCAAAATACATCCATGAGCAGGAGTCACCATGGATGCAGGGGTCACTTGGAGGTGCCAGGTGGGAGCTTCTCGCGAGATTTTGAAGTATCTCGTCTCCTCGTTCAGGGAAAAAAAATTACCTCAATAAACAGAAAAAAATTACCACAAAAAACAGAAGAAAAAAAATACCCCAAAAAACAGAAAAAACTTACCACAAAAACAGGGTAAAAATTACTCAGAAAAACATAAGAAATTACACTAAAAAACAGGGCTTTTTTTATTTGTCAAGTGAATGCAATACACTTCCGTACTTCCTGACGCTGCCAATATTTGAAAAGTAAAAAGGCAAAGTCAAACAAAGAAAATTTTATTTATTTCTATACACCAAAATCACAAATTAGCCTCAGAGGGCCTTGAATATATACACACCATAGGCCACCTCAGAGCATCCCTGAATGCAATAACTGAGAAATATTAAAATCAGCTGAAAATAAATGCAAGTCATATATGCTCCTATCAGTCTATCAGGAAATCTTTCCCACAAAACAAACAGGTACTGACAGACAGCTTGTAGGCACATTAAGGCTTTACTTAAAGAGCAAGTCCCATCAGTAGTATTAAAGAGCAATACTAATGTCAGCCTCTTTGAACCAGATTATGTGTGAATGTCACTGTATATATTAACAGAACCTTATACTATGAGGTTACTATTATATTACAATTCAATTTTATTCTACACAGTGGTAGCGAAGAGAAAAGCCTTCACCATTCAGTTTATACATTTGCAGGTAAATCTTGAAGCTGTTCAAACCACTAGCTGAGCCGCCATGTAGCCTGAAGAATGACGTAAGGACTGCATTTTACCACACCAGCTCAGACAACGAGCCAAGATGTGTGTGTGTGTGTGTGCTTGTAGTAGTATGAGGGCTGTGGTTTCTGGTGGTCATGTCCATAGGCTGTGGTAAACTGATGATACATGAACAAGCGCTTGATGTAGCTACAGGTTAAAACAAAAATACATTCTCAACAGAAAACATCATTGGATGTGTATTTTTTTTGAGCAGCTCCATCAAAGTCTGGTTCCCAACAACTCCTCTGCAGCTGTTCGTCCACTATAGATGACATCGTTGACTGCCACACCATCATAGGAGGAACCAATCAGAGATAGTGAGAGATTATTCTCCTTTATGAAGCTACGCATGGACTCTGGAAAAGCAGACAGTCAAACCTTGAAATGATGTTTCACTACACCTTGTGAATGCGTCATTTTAACATGTAATGTAGAGTCAGCAGTATACTCACCTACTCTCCGAAAATGTCCTTGATAATACTGAGGTATACAGTCCTGACGAGAGAAACATCAGAGATTTCATCACTATTGCAAAGATGCAGAAATAACTGCTGTAAAGAATCTGTTTCCCTCCAACAATCTGATGAAATACTAACTTAGCAACAGAGAATCCTGAGTGCATTTTTATGTCTCTGTGCCAGCAATAGCCGTGGGCGGAGGCAGTATGTTTTCAGGTTGTCCAATGGACAGACAGACATACGTGATATCTCAGGAACGCTTTGAGGGAATTTCTTCTAATTTGTTCATTGTTCATGAGTAGCTGTAGGGGGTCAAGGGTCAAGGTCACTGTAAATTTGTCTGTCCATTCTTGTGAATGTGATATCTCAAGAACAACTTGAGGGGATTACTTCATCTGGAGTACAAATGTTCACTTAACGATGAACTGATTACAGGCATGAAAATGGGTCAGGGGTGAAAAAGGTGAGAAGGATACGAGACCCGGCACCTGCTAGGGGGTCCCAGGGTTATGCTCCTTGATTGTTTTTTTGGTGGAAAAATGAGCTTCTAAATGCTCATATCTGATTTCTTTTAGATTTACTCTAGTGGTGGTCACATGCAGAATTAGAAGATTGCACACAAACAAAAGTATGAATGCATAATTAAGTGCAAATAAAGTATCTTTACATGTTCACATATGTTGTATAAGAGACAAGACCAGGGACGGACTGGGACACAAATTAAAGCCCGGGACATTCAGGCGCATCGGCCCACACACTATCCCACACGTTTCTACCTATAATCCTCTATATGCTTGTACACAGTACACAAACGCTGTCCTCAGAATCAACTGCATAAGAAAATCAGCAGTTATTGTTTAATTCCAGACTATAAAATAAATGCAATAATGAATTGGCCACAAATGGCGATGTGCTTATTATTTAACTTAAAATAAGAGCATATGACTCTATCCTAATGCATCTAATTTTATGCACAATATAATTGTCTGCCCTTTTAGTCAACTTATTACTACAACAAAAAAATCCCGCTTAGTACTACTAAAAAGGTTTTCCTCTGGCTAAAATGTAATGCATAGTAGGTTATGCCTTCACATTGCACCTGTCATATTTCTGGTCTCATCCTCCTCCTCATCACAACTGGGGTTAGTCTATCCCTCAGCTTCAATGTCCTTGGGACTGGGATCACCACCTAATGTTAACTGCATGCATCCACAGGAAAAAAGCAAGCACATATTTTCTTTTAGTGCAGGTTTAAATTATAATGACTTACAATACCTAGTAGGCTAGTTGGCCTCTTGAAACGGACACCTAGAAGAAATACGCAATTTGCCAAAGCCAACCTTGCTCATTACACACTCGCGAACGTTAGCTAACATTAATGCACCTGCTATAATGGCACTATAGCAGGTGTCGCCTCCAGCTCCATCGTTAACAACACCAGCAGCCAAACAGGTCGGTTATTTTGGAGCACTTTGCTGCCTCTTCTTGTGAAGATTTAAGTTTTTTTATTCAAGTTTTTTCCACGCCACTTTTTTTGTCAACGGTCAAACTAGCCTGGTCTGCCATGAGTAATGACTGATGACTGCGGCTGAGCCAATCAGATTTCAAGAAAAATGAGAGCCTCTTTTGTATTGGAGGAGGCCACTCTTATATGGAGCTATATTTGTGTCTTGAGAGAGAGAGAGTCTTTGAGAGAAAAAAAATATTTGAGAGAAAAAGTTTTCACACTGATAGCAAAAAATAATAATATTTAAGACTAACAAAAGTTTTGAGATAAAAGATTTTGTCATAGAATATAAAAAAAAAAATTTGACATTTAAAAAATGATTTCCGAGAAAAAAACTCAAAAAACTTTTTTTTACTCTCAAATATTATTTTTTTTTTGCTATCAGTGTGAAAACATTTTCTCTCTCTCTCAAAAAAAATGTTTCTCTCAAAACATTTTTCTTCTCTCTCTCAAAACCTAAGTCTTTGCTCTCATGTAAGGATTTTGCTTTCGCTGTGAAAATAATGTCATGGGCGGGGCCATGTTCCTATTGGCCAGTCTCAATCGAATTGACAGCTAGGTGAGGATCATCTTGGGAGTCGAATTCAACTGAATCATTCACCCACCATGGTGGATTCGCCGGCATAGATGCGCTGCGTTATTTGGGAGCGGATATGCATACATTAATGTTATGCATGTGTGGCCAAATGGAGAGGAGAGGGAAATGAACTGACAACGCCACCTGTGGAATTGCACCTCAGGGAATACACTCAAACCTGTAGACTACTCTTAACAACAGAAGGTCACACAGATTCGTACACTGGTAAATATGGGGACAGGAGACGGACTTCCAAATATAACAACATGGAGGTCCAAAGCTGCATGAATGCACAGCCGCATTACCGTGTGCTTTAATCAGTCTGTGGAAAACCAGCAGAACAGCAGTAGAAAACGGAGCGGCCGCACCGGGGCTGGAGGCCGTGGATAGCCGCCCCTCAGGATGCCCAGCTGACGGCCCACGTCACCGGGCTACAGAGTGCAGCCCCACACAGTGCGCAGAGGAGGAGAAGAAGCCACAAGCTGTGGCCTCAGCTACAGCAGGACAACCTGTTAACATAAAGTTAACAGAACTAGCAGAAGTAGAAATAAGAAAACAGAGCGAGATAACCGGAGCAAAGGGAGCTTAACGCACAGCTCAAACCCGGTCACCGTCTTGCAGTGAAGAAGAGCAGACACCACGCTTTTCAAAGTCCCCTCTGAAGCTGCACACAACAGGAATGGCCAACGCCGCTGTAAAGCGAAGAGTCACGGCAGCTGTGACACCATAATACGCTTTAACAGTACACAAACATTGCAGCACCCATGCCTACCTTATGAGTCCCAAGTTTGGGTACAGAAACCGGAGCATGACACACACAAAGCACGCCAACCAGAGCACGCCACACACAGCCCTTGCCAGGTAAACGCCAGATAGAAGTGAGCGCGCCCGTGAGGGGAAGACCAAATAACGCAGATGCCACCACTGCGCAATTAGGCTCCGACAGCTGGAAATTAGGCCCAGCTGATGCCAATTAAGGGCGGAGGTGTAGCAGCGCTCACCCTGCTACACATGGAATGTTGGAAGACAGAAGCACCGTAGTAAAGTAACGTTAAGGCTTTAATGTGATAACCTGGTTTTTACAGTAGCTAGCTAGATGTAAAGTTAACACTAGCTGGCTAGCGCAGTTAATAACACAATCTCGGTAAAATAACGTTAGGTGAGAAAAGGGATTCATTATAGGAATGATTTTGATAACCAACTTGCTCAGCTAGCTACCCATCGAGTTGTGTGTCTCATCATCTTACCCAAACATTGAGTCTCCGCTCCCAAATAACGCAGTGCATCTATGTCGGTGAATCCACCATGCTGGATTAATGATTCAGTTGAATTCGACTCCCAAGACGATCCTCACCCAGCTGTCAATTCGATTGAGACTGGCCAATAGGAACATGGCCCTGCCCATGACATTATTTTCACAGCGAAAGCAAAATCCTGACAGGAGAGCAAAGACTTTTTTTTGAGAGAGGGAGAAAATGTTTTCACACCGATAGCAAAAAAAATAATATTTGAGAGTAAAAAAAAAGTTTTTTGAGAGAGTTTTTTTTTCTCGGAAATAATTTTTTAAATCTCAAATTATTTTTTTTAATATTCTATGACAAAATACTTTCTCTCAAAACTTTTTTTAGTCTCAAATATTATTATTTTTTTGCTATCAGTGTGAAAACTTTTCCTCTCAAATATTTTTTTTTCTCTCAAACATTTTTTTTCCTCTCATATCATTTATTTTCCCGCATGTAATAAAGACACAAATATACCTCCATACCTCTTATCTCCTCCTTCAAGCATCAAAACACAAGATTGACACCTATGTCCCCACCTTTTTTCTGTGGCTTCGCTCCACAGACCTCCCCACCTCACGTATTTCACCTATTTTGTATTCAAAACGGCGAAAGGTGAGCGTTTTTCATGCCTGTGATTAGATTTTGGAGGTCAAAGGTCAAGGTCGTTGTGACCTTGCATCTGTTTCATTTTCGTGAAGGCGATATCTCAAGAAGGCCTTAACCCTTTGAAACCTGAGCGAATTGGCTTGATTTTTCTTTTCTTTTTTTCAAAAAACACGGAAAGAAGGCATTGAGCAATGTATGAAATTGACAAAATTAGCAAGATATTAAAAGCCAAAATAAGCCAAAAAGGAGAAGTAGAAAAAAGAAAATTACCTGAAAATAAGCAAAAAAGAAAAAATTAAAAAAACAAAAACAAACAAGAAACGTACCTAAAAATAAGTAAAAAGGGAAAGTGAAAAAAAATTCAGAATTATCTGAAAAAGATTGCTAAAAATTAAATAAATAATATCATATCTACTTTCTGTTACACAATTTTAAATACATATTTAAAAATATACATTTCCCTAGTTTGTTTTTTTTTTGGGGGGGGTGGGGGGGGGAGTTTTCTAACTATGTTCATTGCCTTTCCCCGTGTTTTCTATATAAGTCACACCAATTTTTTTGCAGGTTTTGACAGTTTAAATGTTTATGAGGTTATCCTAACACAGTACAAGGAAACAGACGTTGATCCAGGTTTAAAAGGGTTAAAGGGATTCCTTCCAAAGATCCCTTGGACTACAGATGAGTGGATTGAATTTGGTGGTCAAGGTCACTGTGACCTCACAAAACATATTTTTTGGCCATAACTCAAGAATTCCTATTGTAATTAAGACAAAATTTAACATAAATGTCTAATAGAATAAAATGAGTGATGATATTATATATTGAAAAAGTCAAAGGTCAATTTCACAGTGGCATCACTGTGAGCAAAAACACTTTTCTGGCCATTATTCAACATCATCACTCTCGAACAGAATGGGAGACATTTGGTCAGATTCTGAATTAATGTGTGTGAAGCTTCCATGTTTTCACAGACACAGATGTAAACTGTAAGTGCAACTTGGTATGTGAAGGCATACAACCGTGAGGCGCTAATTCTAGTTTGACATGAATTGGGAACTTCACAAAGACACAGTCCTATCATACCCTGTGTAAATTCACCCGACTCCAGCTGGGTGCTGTGGTTACTCCCAGGTGGTGTTGCACTGCCTCAGTGGCTCTTGCTAAAAGATGCTCATCTGTTACTGCTTCTGGTGCCCCAAACACTTCCTGGAACCAGGCCCCACCCATCATCACCTGGAAGACATGGTCAGGACCTTAGGTTAGAGGTGTGGACTCACTTAACAGGTCTAGAGCCTTACTGGAAAGAAAAAAGATTCTTGCTTACATGCCCTGTGACTGTTGATTTTTACAAGCAGCGGATCTTTGCTTTAAGGCTGCAATAATCAATATGTTTGTATGTATGTATGTATTTAATGTCAATCAAAGTGATGAAGCCACAGAGAATTATCACTGGGGAGCCAGTGAGCGCGTTTACATGCACACTAATAAACCGATCATTATCTGATTTCTGGAGTTACCTGATTATTCAAGTGGTCATGTAATAATAATCCGATAGACTTTATCAGATAAAAGCCATTATCTGATTATGAGAAATCAGACAAACACATCTAGCTTTTTCCCCAATAGTCAGATTATTCGGTGCATGTATACCCTTTAATCTGGTTTCTTTCAGGATTTGTTATTTTATACTCCCACTCCACTACATTTTAGAGGGAAATATTGTACTTTCTACTCCACTACGTTAATCTGACAGTTTTTGTTTCCTTTCAGATAAAGATTTTACATGAAATAATATATTTTTATATTCTCAGTGTTTAAACTGTCACTTTTACTTTTTTTGTCACATCTTACTTATATGTTATGCACTTTGTGTGACAAGTTTATATACAATACACTTGTATATTGCACTTTGCAGTACTTTCACTACAAATCTACCCTAATGATGAGTGCTTTATTTTGCAAATATATGACTTGCGTACTTTTCGAAGTTTTTCAAGGATATGAATACCTACTGTAACAGGAAGTTTGAGTTTTATGTCATGTACTTGGGGAGAAATCCAACTGAAGGACTGAATCATGTAAACCAGGTTTTTCTGATTATCAGATTATTAAAGTGCATGTAAGCGCGTCAAATAGGATTATTACCATTACCTGATTATTACCAGTTATCTGATTATTGTACGCATGTAAACGGGCACAGTGTCTCTTCACATAACTGTTAAGGCATTCCTAAGTTGTATCAAGGTCTGTTTCATCCTACTTTAACCTGAACCCAGCCAATCATCTCTGTAATGCTTGACCATAACTTTACATTTACAGAAGTTAAGCCACCCATACACAGAGGACAGCGCCATGAGAAACACTGTTCAAAAGGAAACAGTCATGTTTTATGACATCATTCCAAGACTTTTTGTGTGCCTGATTGAGTTGACAAAATTCAAGTCTTCAGCTGCAAAAAATGCTATGTAGGAAAAAATGTAATCACTGGGACATTACAAGGTTTAATAATTAAGACTTTGCTCTTTAAAAATGTTTTCCAAACCAAATTGAAGGGTTTTAAATTTGATTTCACATTGTGTGGATACAATTCTTTATCAGCTCATAACAGTAAAGCCTAATCCATATCAGACAGAAAGAGAGTGAGTTAGTACCGTAAGTCTAGTTGTCTGTCCATTAGATCTGTTGTGTTGAGGGAAGGGAACAGAATCATAGACAACCCCCAGTAAACCTGGATCCTCTGATGATGGAAGCAGGTGACCAAAACCCTGTCAAACAGACACCGAGACAGCCATAACACAACAAGCCAAGACTTTTTCACAAGCTAATGTAAAATGACATATGACATCTGAGGAGGAGTCACTAGTTACTTCTTTGTGAATAGCACAATAAGCCACTTGGAAGTCCAGCAAGTGAAATGTACAAACTAATAATGGAGTCATTATGTTTTCATACTGATTTGCTATTTCTGAATTTTGTTTTCAAGTCCAGTATTCTATTGGCCCGTGCAAAGCCCCACACTGAATTCTAAAACAAAAGAGTTTTGTGTGCGACTTTGTGCCTGACTGTACTGCTCACCGTTACAGGCAGGATGGAACCCTCATACTCCAGATTTACCACAGCGACTGTTACTGTGGCAATGTCATGCAGCAGCTGGATGAGAGGTTGACAGGAGGAGGGCAGGACTGAGGAGAGGGCTGGGGAAGGAGAAATGTGTAATCACAAGAAGATCTTTTTTTTCTCTCTTGCTGTTTTTCTTGAGGATTTTGTCATGTTAGAATGAGTTCTAAAAGTATTTGGTATTTTGTACAAACCTGTATACACAGCATACACTACGTAGCAGCAAGTATAAGACATTTAGAATTTTAATTTTATTATTTATTAGTATTAGTATTAGTAGTATTTTCATTAAAATACTGAGATTTCATTTTTGATGGTATAACTTCCAGCATTACATTACAGCAACACTTTCAGCACATATTGGAGGATTGCAAACATTAGCTTAGATGCTGCTGCTTATCAGAGGAAATTAGGAGAGCTAAGAACCATGACTGATATGATCCAGGGTGTATTCTTCTCTGTTCCTATCATGTAAGACACAGCATTCCAGTCACATTCTATTGCCTGCACTTGCCTTTAGCAGGCAGTGCAGAGATGATGTGATCCGCTGATATGACTCCATCCTCCACTGTGATCTACAAACACACATACACAGATCTTATGAAGGCAGCCAAATAGCAAGAACATGAGAATCCAACAGTCCAGCATGTTTTGATTTTCAGCCGGGAAGCTCTGCACATGTTGCTCATGTTACATGCTAATATTTAACAAGCATGTTAGCATGCTAACATTTGCTAATTAGCACTAAACACCAAGTACAGCTGAGGCCGATGTAATGTCAACTGTAAATGTGAATTAGTTCTGAGGGTATCTGGTCACCAAAGCAGGGATGTGCCATATAATTTTTAATATCTCATGAAAAATTCATATTGTGATACTTGTGATATTTCGACTTGTTGACATATTGACATCATGCTGTTAACCACGGCAACAATGAGCATGGCTAAAAGCAAAATTATATCTACACATACACACAAACAGCACACACACACACATATATATACAGTACAGGCCAAAAGTTTGGACACACCTTCTCATTCAATGCGTTTTCTTTATTTTCATGACTATTTACATTGTAGATTCTCACTGAAGGCATCAAAACTATGAATGAACACATGTGGAGTTATGTACTTAACAAAAAAAGGTGAAATAACTGAAAACATGTTTTATATTCTAGTTTCTTCAAAATAGCCACCCTTTGCTCTGATTATTGCTTTGCACACTCTTGGCATTCTCTCTATGAGCTTCAAGAGGTAGTCACCTGAAATGGTTTCCACTTCACAGGTGTGCCTTAACAGGGTTAATTAGTGGAATTTCTTGCTTTATCAATGGGGTTGGGACCATCAGTTGTGTTGTGCAGAAGTCAGGTTAATACACAGCCGACAGCCCTATTGGACAACTGTTAAAATTCATATTATGGCAAGAACCAATCAGCTAACTAAAGAATAACCAGTGGCCATCATTACTTTAAGAAATGAAGGTCAGTCAGTCCGGAAAATTGCAAAAACTTTAAATGTGTCCCCAAGTGGAGTCGCAAAAACCATCAAGCGCTACAACGAAACTGGCACACATGAGGACCGACCCAGGAAAGGAAGACCAAGAGTCACCTCTGCTTCTGAGGATAAGTTCATCCGAGTCACCAGCCTCAGAAATCGCAAGTTAATAGCAGCTCAGATCAGAGACCAGATGAATTCCACACAGAGTTCTAGCAGCAGACCCATCTCTAGAACAACTGTTAAGAGGAGACTGCGCCAATCAGGCCTTCATGGTCAAATAGCTGCTAGGAAACCACTGCTAAGGAGAGGCAACAAGCAGAAGAGATTTGTTTGGGCCAAGAAACACAAGGAATGGACATTAGACCAGTGGAAATCTGTGCTTTGGTCTGATGAGTCCAAATTTGAGATCTTTGGTTCCAACCGCCGTGTCTTTGTGAGACGCAGAAAAGGTGAACGGACGGATTCCACATGCCTGGTTCCCACTGTGAAGCATGGAGGAGGAGGTGTGATGGTGTGGGGGTGTTTTGCTGGTGACACTGTTGGGGATTTATTCAAAATTGAAGGCACACTGAACCAGCATGGCTACCACAGCATCCTGCAGCGACATGCCATCCCATCCGGTTTGCGTTTAGTTGGACGATCATTTAGTTTTCAACAGGACAATGACCCCAAACACACCTCCAGGCTGTGTAAGGGCTATTTGACCAAGAAGGAGAGTGATGGAGTGCTGCGGCAGATGACCTGGCCTCCACAGTCACCGGACCTGAACCCAATCGAGATGGTTTGGGGTGAGCTGGACCGCAGAGTGAAGGCAAAGGGGCCAACAAGTGCTAAACACCTCTGGGAACTCCTTCAAGACTGTTGGAAAACCATTTCAGGTGACTACCTCTTGAAGCTCATGGAGAGAATGCCAAGAGTGTGCAAAGCAGTAATCAGAGCAAAGGGTGGCTATTTTGAAGAAACTAGAATATAAAACATGTTTTCAGTTATTTCACCTTTTTTTGTTAAGTACATAACTCCACATGTGTTCATTCATAGTTTTGATGCCTTCAGTGAGAATCTACAATGTAAATAGTCATGAAAATAAAGAAAACGCATTGAATGAGAAGGTGTGTCCAAACTTTTGGCCTGTACTGTATATATATATATATATATATATATATATATATGCATATGTGTGTATATATGTGTAATATATATATATATGTATATATATAACTCTTGTGACAGTCCATCCAATAAAATGAGACAATTCCCTAAAAATTACAAATGTGAACCTCATGGTGGTGCAAGACAAAGTCAGGGAATTGCCAAAGACGTTAGATCTCATTATGTGGACAATATTTTCTGCCAATCCAATTGGTAAATGCCATGAGGTGCCACTGTATTTCACTTCCATCACAGTGTCATTTGGCCACGCCCCCCGCCGTTGGATGGTCTCTGGAGGAGATAATCCCAGGTGTGCCAGAGGCTGTACACCCCCTCGTCCCGGTTGATAGTGCCGCTCGCCCACTTACTGATTTCGATTGCCTCTTTTATCTTCTATGTTTCGCACACCTAGAATTCCCTCCTCCAGAGCCCCTCCAACAGCAGGGGGCGTGGCTGGCCCGACAGATTCTAACAGGTCTGTTGGGCCAGCCAGCTGATGAATGACACGTCAGCAACATGTCAGATGGCGCTTCTGAGGAAGACTGGAGTCACAGTCCAAACTGTCAAGCAGGTAAAAGAAACATCTCCTACACTTTTTTCTCTGAAGATAAGAAAAGATTGAACAATTCTAAAAAGACGACAAAATGAACCTAATCAATCTGTCATTTATCCTATCAATTGGTTGCTGACTAACAAAAAGGCAGGTCTTATTTAATATGAGCCTGTCAGAGGGACCAGTCCAAAGGAAGAATAGAGAGAGGGCAAGAGACACAAACACTACAGGCTTTTTGAGACTGTGACAATTAAGAATATATCACCTTAGACAGCATGTGTACAAAACTTTACAATCAAAAATACCATTTACAAAATCTCCCTATTCTTAGTTCACACATAAACATTTAGAAAACTACTTCACCACAGAAAAAGAGTCATCTCAATCAGCTTTGACATCAGTCCTAACAGACAGACTTCATCTTAACCCACTGACAGAGGAAAAAGGTTAGATATCAATTTCTCAATATAATTAAATAAATCCTGCATTCTGTTAATCAATATATTCAGACATTTTTACCAAAAAGACATGATATTTATATCACCCTCATCACTTCACATTTATGAATAACCCTTACTAATGTCAAGGTCCATCAATGTCTAAAATTAATACTTTCATCAAAGACCTCCACTATCACTTATTGTCAAAGAAATCTTATTGAGAAACAAATTGAATCCAGTAGGCTCTGGAGAAATAGCTTAATGTCTAATTCCTCATTAACCCTTTGGGGTTTAACGTGGCCAGTTTAATAACCCAGCAGGCCTACCTCTTAAGGAGCAGCTTCTGTAGCCTAGTGTCATCACTTATCAGAAAATTGACATTGAGGGCATCAATTTAAAATTTTAGGCTATATCATGACAACGAGGGCTCTTTTTCTTGCTCAGTTGCAGAGAAAAGCATAAGGATTGTTATAATACTAATAATAAGAAAAAATGAGAAAGCGCAGCTGGTACCAGTGTATCCATACTAGAAAATGAGTATCAAAACTGCTTCAAATATTGATTAAAAATTAATATACATCAATAAATCAATACTTCAAAAAAAAAAAAATACTCCAGATCTTCTACTCTGTTTGGTTTGCAAACATTGTAAAACTTCAGTTGAGTTATTGAACTGGATGATTTCCATTATAAGCTAGTTCTGCAGACATGGGGAATAACACATCATGCTAAACCAGCTATATTTTAAGATCACATTCATAATCAAATTCACGTAAACGTAGTTTATAGTCTCCTCACTAACCTTCCAACCAGAGGCTGAAGGACTGATGTGTTCCACAGCTGCGTCTCTGTGAAGCTCTACTTTCCCCGATTGTTGTAGGTGCTCTGTAATGGATTCTGGGAGGGATTCCAGTCCCCTGCTCAGGGACCACTGGGCCCATGACTCTTTCATAGATCTTTGTGCCAGAGGGCCAGGGGGGACCACAGAAGAGGGACCTGCAGGTTTTTTTCACAAATTTAGTCCCAAAACGCACACAGACTGCAGACCACATGATACCATTACTCTTAATGTAACTGAAACAAACTGAAATACACTGGAATAATCCTCTCTTTGGGTAAAGTTACAGCACATCCAAAATCAAATGTGCTAACCGTATCCAGTAAAATAAGGACTGAGCCTGTCTGACACAAGTCAAAGTGCTTTACACATTACAACTACATTTAAAACAAACTAAAACCAAAACTAAAAGTGGTTGTATGCCCCCGCAAACCTGTGAAGTTGCAGTTACAGTTTACATCCATGTCTGTGAAAACATGAATGCTTCAAACACATCTTACCCACAGTCCCATTATATACGGCACAAAAAATCTTCCTTAGATATGATGTTGAATAATGGCCAGAAAAGTGTTTTTGCAGAACATTATGATATCACAGTGAAGCTGACCTTTGACCTTTTGGATATAAAATGTCATCACTGCATCATTTTATCCCATTAGATATCTGGGTGATATCTTCTCATAATTAGCATATGATTTCTTGAGTTATCACAGTGACCTTGACATTTGACCTTTGACCACCAAATTCTTATCAGTTCATACTTGACTCAAAGTGGACATTTGTGCCAAATTTGAAAAGAAATCCCTCAAGGCATTCTTGAGATACTGTGTTCACAAGGATGAGACAAACAAGGTCACAGTGACCTTGACGTTTGACTTACAACCACACAAATTAAATCAGTTCATCGCTGGGTTCAAGAGGACATTCATGCCAAATTTGAAGAAATTCATTCAAGGGGTTCTTAAGGTATCGCATTCTTGGGAATGCAGACAGATAGATGGCCAGAGGGATGGGCAACCCAAAACCAATTTGAAAAAATAAAGTAGACAAAGGACTGCAGTTTCAGAGCAGATATGTTGCAATAATTAACAGCCAAAGTTTAATAAGGTAAAGAAAACAGAACATTAATCAGCGGCACTGAAAAACAGATTTTGGGCGTGGGATTTGAAAGTGGCTTCAGTTTAGAGCATTTTCGATCATGCAGAGGTTGGTTAAATGTTTTTGGTTCTGACTCCATTTCTACAAGCTTATAGGTTCTGACTCCAGATCCACAAGCTGACAGGTGCTGGCTCCAGTTTTAAAAGCTGACTGGTTCTGACTCCAGTTCTACAAGCTTATGGGTTCTGACTCCAATTCCACAAGCTGAGTTCCACATCTGAGTCCAATAGATCACCATAATACGGCCATTTTTCTTTATAGATTTCAGTTAGTGTATTTAACTACTGAATACAATTCAGTGCACATGCATACTACTTTTGTAAAGCTCACAATGATATACTTTTTTTGTGTGACTTGACTGTTTAAGCTCTTCACTTGTATTGTATGTTTTCATGAGCTATGTTCGGAAACACAAGTCACAGTAGGTTAGTACTCACCTGCATACAAATTTAAGGTACTTCCATCCTCTCACACACAATTTCCTTTGTTTACTCTTCTGTTTATTCTTTTCTGATTTGGACCATAGCGGATCATGGGTTGCAGATGTTTTTGCTCTTTATTGTTGTTGTTATTTGGATATTGTAAAGACCCAAGACAGAGGTGTTAAAGACATCTCCTCTACATTTTTGATTTATTATTAGATTGTATGTGGCTATTCATTAAGGTGTCTATGCTCCTTGTCCGTGTGCCCCCAGTCTTGTTTGTGTTATGTTCCCATACCTTCACAAAACTACATAGGAAAATAAAACAAAAAAGGTTGACAGTATAATAAGTGCTAAAGTTTACCTGAGCCCAGCAGCATGCCTAGAGTCAGGGAACCTCTGCTCTTCTCTGCGTTGTGCAAGACAGGAAAACAAGAACGCACACTCAACTTTCTGCAGTCCCCCGCAAACACACCACGGCACAAACTGTCCACAGCTATGTCTGCCAGCTAGACACACACAAGAGAGGAAGCAAATGTAATCAAAAATAATATTACAGTAATATCAGACACATACACACGCACGCACGCACGCACGCACGCACGCACGCACGCACGCACGCAC